TAATAGTTCTGTATAAACCAAAATTCAATAAAGCTTTAAATTTTTTATTAAAATAAATTTTATTTGAAGTATCAAAATATAAATTTAATATTTTTTACAAACAGCTTTTCCTTTTTTTCTACGTTTTGTTGTCTCAGAATCATTAGAAGACAATGAGGACATCGATGTATCTGAATCGTATTTTTTATCATTATTATCTAATTCTTCAATTTCATAATCAATTTTATCTTCTTTGTAACCTTTAAACTGAATTCTTTTTCTCTTAGTTCTATGTAATCTATTTTCTAATTTTCTTCTTACTTCAGGATATACGATTGTATCAACATCTAAATTATTTTCAATCCTACAATCTGTTAATTGAAATTTGTCAACTTGTGATTTAAAATTATGGTTATAGTATCGGATCCTATTGCTTTCTTTGATTAAATTATGTTCTCCAGTTATGTAAGCAATTTGTTCGAGAGTAACATCAGAGTTAAATTCAATATCAAATCGAAGGTTAATAAAATTTTCATACAAGCCTTTATGAAAAATTCTTTTTACTGAACAACATAGACACTCAAAATCGCATGGCCTTTTATCATTGTTTCTAAACTTTTTGTATTCAATAATATAATCGAATCGATTATAAATTGAAGAAGATTTTCTTTTGTTTTCTATTTTAACAGTCTCATTCCCAAAATATGGAGTATCTTCGAAATAGACATATTGAGTTCGCAAAGACGTATTCGATGTAAACACATTCACAAACGAACAAAAATTCAGATGCCCGCCTTTTTTCTGTACAGTGTGTGGCTTGTTATCGATTAATGTCAACAGAGTCAAGAATTCCATGTTATGATTATAAAAATCATCAAATACAAAAACTTTATTTTCATCATATCCTTGAAACCATATTCCATCATTTTGCGACTTGTAATACGCATCAGGGAAAAGTATTTGTGTCAAGTAATCCTTTCCAGTTCTCGAGTCACCATAAATATAGATGTTGCATGGCGTAAAACATCTCTTGAACGATTTCTTTTGACTATCACGAATCGTGTTGTAAAGTTCTTTGATAATATGTGGTGCTGTTCCTGAATTAACAAAGGCATCAATGACAATCTCATTTATCGGTTTGATTTGTTCTTTGATATCTTCAATTGTTTGTTTACATATTTTTTTTTGTTTTTCTAAATGTTGATTAAAACCTTCAGCATTATGACTCATTGGCAATTCTCTAAATTCAAAGGGTCCAGAATTATCATCAACGCACGCGAATATTCGAAATTCCAAGCAACTTTTATCACACTTGTCGCATATTTTTGTTAAATCAAAAAAATCACACCTACAGTAGGGATGATGTTTTGAACAACGATTTCTATCTTTCTTACAATATCTGATTGTGTCGTCAAACGTTCCATTATGAAAATCCACATGCATTTCTTCATCTTGAAAAATACTTTTAATCGTTGAAGCTTTTTTCCCATATTTATAATTTCCCAATCTCATTTGTGTCCATAGTATACAGAATCCTTGAATATGTTTTTTACTTGTTTTAGTATATTCATATTGAAAAACTATATATCGAATATTTTTTTTGTCAA